GCCTTTTTAACAGACTCCCACATGCTGACTGGCTAAAATATATTTATTAGCAACGTATTGCAATAAACCGTCATTAGAAAAAAAATTTAAAAAGCCAGATTTTTGTCCAGCACCAAACTTCCCCAATAGATGTATGAATAAATGTGTGAGCTAGACAGTGTATGGAAGTCTGTTGGATTCACTCGTCCCTCTCCCATACACCTGCCCTATGAAACAGACGTGCAAAGAGTTCCAGAATGATCTCCAATAAAATGTTAACATTAAAGAAATTCGAAAACATGCACTAGAATGAAGATAAAATCAAATTAAGATGCACTAATTTTCTTCTAGTTGTGTATTTCTATTGGATTTAGGACCTCTAAGGGGCATGTAGAGACAGATCTATGTGCTTCAGTTAATAAACCAAAGAACCCAAAAAACAAAAAACGCCTGTGAACTCAGCTCTTATTGCAATATTATTATAGTTGCAATATTAATATATAGTAATCAGTCCCGTGTGCCCACCTGTCTGTCCTGTGAACAGTCTGTAGCTTGACTGCGAAGGTCTAAAAAGTTGATATTTTGCAGGTGATCTAGGAATGGCCTCACCTCAGAATGATTAGAATTTGGAGTAAACCAGTGCAAAAATAGCTCTGCTAGAGGTCAAAGGTCACGTTTTGGGAAATGCTTTATCATGACTGGCAGGGGTAACTATATCCCTCTAATGATGGCCCTTTAGTTTTTATTTCATTTTTACAATATATTGTTTAAATGAAAAGTGGCCTCCATAAACTGCATTTCTTTTATCATGCATGTTTTTCGTGATGTTTCTGTTGTGAAAAAGTGACATTTAAAGTTTAGCTTTAGGTTCCCCACACCAAAGGTTCAAGGTATCTGTTGTGTTTTTTGTGGCATCTGAGTGCTTTGGATTAGAGACATTTCAGATATTTCAAGTTTTTTCTTCACTGTCAGACATGCATCTTTACTTGGTATTTGTCTGTCTGCAATAATCTGTCTTACTTGAATCTTGGCAGTCTTGTCAGAGGCGCTCTTGTTCAAGAAACAGCCTCTGTCAAATCCCACGGTTGAGTTAAATGGCTCCACATTTTCCTTCTTTGGTTTTACCCTCACTGCAGCGGCTCTTCCCACCTCCTGCAACATGTTGTTCCTTTAAGTCTTTTTGTGGGCTTTGCTGAAAACAAGAAAAATACAGAATAATGGCAGCCTTGTCCTTTAAATAAGCCTGCATTCTGGCAGTTTGAAGCTGCAGAACCTGCTGTTCTGTCAACAGCTCCTAAGCCAGCTTTGAAGAACTAAAAAAAACATGCTGGTGTTTTTCAAATCACAGAGTTAGTGGCACATGAGAGTGAGATGAGAGTTTAGACCCTGGAGACCATAAAACAGGAGCAGGGATAAACTATTGTGTATGTGCCTGTAAGTGACTGAAGTCAGTCAAAGACCCTATTTATACAGGGGGTCTGCTCATGTGTAACCATGTTAATGTATGAAACAGTGTGTTTCTGGACAAGAGCAAAGAGCTCAGACAATTTCCAGGATCACAAAGCTTTAAAAGAAACATTACGTTGGTATGTTAGCTGATATTTGCTGCTTTTAGGACTGTAGACGTCTGAAGTGCCGTTGCCCCCTGTTGGAGCAGCGCAGTGAAGTTAACCTCACACACCTTTGTCACAAGGGTTGCTGTGCTCTGAATGGTATAAGTTTGTTTTTTGTTTTGTCATATCATCATATTAATTGTCTGAGTTTAAGAATTACATTATTTTTTGTTTACTAATTACGAACTAGCACAGCAAAAACACAAAACTGAATAAAGTCATATCCAAAAACATGTCTTCATGTTCTTTCCAACCATAGCACATGATCCTGGACAACACAGACCACTTTGATGAGCTTAAAGTCCAATTTAATTGCAAAGGAGAGCCAGAAATGTCAGTATGGGTTTGCTGTTCTACTGAATGTACATACCTGTATGTATCTATTTACACATAGACATGTTACCTGTGTCTTATACCTCTTTTTTTCTTTCTTGATGAAGTGAAGTTAATGTAGTTAGAAAGTCATCTGGACTGTCCAGATCCTGTCTACACAAACACTTACACAGTCTGACATTTTAACACAGAGGAAGATCTGGTTTCCTTTAGTTTGTAATTAGCTGACTTCTCCACTAGAGGGCAGTGCTGTATAATTGAAAGCCCATAATACACACCACCATAAACCAAAGTACCAAGTCTCAGCTTTAATTTGAGCAGGTTTTCTACAAGTATGGAAAAACTGTGTGGGAGACAAAACCCATTTAACACAAAGTACTCAAAATGTAGAGATTCTAAAAGCAATTGGAGAGATTCACATGTAGCTGAAATCATTATATCTACTATTTTGTTGAAAAATCCTGCAGGTCAGCCTCCAGTTGAACACTCTGCTGTCAGATGAGTAGTCGAGCCGAGGATGTCAAGTGTTGTCCATTATGTGAAGCAGTTTGTGCAACATCCCTCGATCAACTATCAACTCCAGGGACTCCAGAGCAGCCCTGAGAAGAACAGAGCCAGACTTCCTCATCAGTTTATTCAGTGTCTCAGGGCCACTGGCTCAGATACTGTAACCCCATCAGATGGCTGCAGAGAAAAATAAATGTGTCCCAGTGGGGTTTGATGTATTTGTCTGTGTGAAAACACACAGAATGCTCCTTTATACCTTTAGATTCATCCTGTTGTGTCTATCAGCAGTGAAATCATTAATAAATTCCAGTGTGTCAGTTCTTGGTTGTCTGTCTCTAAGTGTAGCCCTGTGATAGACTGGTGACCTGTCCAGGGTGTCCCCTGCCTTCGTCCTAAGTCAGCTGGGATAGACTCCAGCCCCCCCGCAACCCTAATGAGGATTAAGCGGTGTATAGATAATGGCTGGATGGATGGACAGTTCCAACCTCACATGCCCATCCACCATGTCTTACAAGCAGTTTAATTTTTTTCTCCACATTTTGATCTTTCCATCATTACATACTCCTGACGAGGGGCAGCTATAGAGTAGTCAGTCCCATTTGTGTCTGTCTGTGTGTGTCTGTAAACAGTCTCTAGCTCGAGTGCTAAGGTCTGGCAAGTTGATATTTTAGGTGAGCTTGTAATGGCCTCTCCACAGAATGCTTAGATTTTGGGGTCAATCAATTCAAAAATAGCTCTGTTAGAGGTCAGAGGTCACTTTTTCAAAAATGTTGTTAACCTTCAAAACACTTGAAGGTAGGTTTACAGTATTTGGTGCAGATAAGCAGCCATAGCCATTTTTATATTGCCATTTTATTTTAAATACCATGTCATCTTTACATGGAAAGTACCCATGAAGACACACAAAACATATTTTGTGGTAAGCTGGATGTAATAATGGTTTACTGGGGCTTAGTTTAATTATGGCCAGTGGGTGCAATTACATCCCTCTACTGCAGGCCCTCTAGTTTTAATAGATGTGTTTTGTTTCGTCAGTCAGAAATTTGTTCCAAAGTTTTTCTGGGTTTTTCTTTTTTGTCTGTTTTGGTGAATTGACATCTGGCCTTTTGATCTTAGAGCCTTGTGCTATATCCTGTAAAATTCTGATTGTGACATTCTCTCTTCATCGCTGACAAGGAGTGTTCACCTGCAGTATTAAAGAGTGTTTCATTCACCATGCACACGATGTTCTGCTTGTGCTCTGTGCTCTACCACCTCATTTATCAGTTTCTAGTTTGCACCTGTTCATTTGGGCAAACTACCCTCGATATGATAGATTTAGCTTTTTCTAATCTTCATCTTCGTCACCTGCATGGTCACCCTTCCTACTCATCATTTTGGCAGACAGCGCCACCTCAATATAAAGCACTCAATCTATTCTTAGCAACACAGAAGCTCTTTTGCACATTGTAATGGCATGCAACTAACCAAGAGACATTTGAGTGTCCAATTACTTTGTAACCTTTGCAACTAGTACAATAAAATAACTAGGTTATCTCACACAGAGGTCATCCCTTCATTCAACCATTCTTTAATCTCAGAATGAGCTGGCTATGGAGGCTGCATTTACAATGTAACTGAGCAAGAAAATAAAAGATATCAACGTTCACATAAGAAACTTAGGTAGCAGTAACAACAAACAGTCAGTAAAATAATTTTTAAAAATGTAATTAGCGTGTTTGATATTAAAAAACTAACCATTATTAATCAAATAACAATAGGTTATTACATTGAGTAAGGATAGAAATGAATCCAGCCTTAGACTGTTCTGCATGTTGTTCAGATTGCACAGTGAGTGAAACTGAATATTACAAATTCAGTAAAAACAGCTGGCGCCTGTAGTGTGATCTGATCATTTGAGTGTGTTCAACAGGAATGCATATCAGAACACAGCAAATGAAGGAGTAAAAAACAAGTAAGAGCCCAATTAATAAATACAACCCAGCGTCTACTCGGCCTTACAGAGAGGAAGGGTGACCTTAGCATACAGCTCACAGTGATGAGTATCGTAATAATCACCAGTGACAAATCCTAATGCACAGTGACAAACAGCGCTCAAGGGGTTAAGAGTCACAGCGGGACACGCATGTATAAAATGTCAGGAAGAAACCAGTATTTGTTCTGCTTTAGTCATTAGCTTTGAGGCATGATATTCAAACTTCTCATTGATCCAGATTCCCAGATATTTGCACTCTGTGGCCCTCTCAAAATGTGCGTCACCCATAGAAGGGATGACCTGTTTGTCTTGAACAGTTTTGTTGGCTCAGGTGATGGTCATACATTTAGTTTTCGCTTATTTTTGTAACACTGCTGTAAATTTACTCAAGTCAAACCTGACGTTTTTAGTGTTTCTTTGCATTCTGGTGCTTTTTGTACTTGGAGAATTTCTATTTACGGCTACTATTGGTCAGAGCAAGTCCACCAACAGCCACACGGTGGCAGTGATGCGCTTGACCGACGGGAGCCACAGCGCCGGGAATGACGCGTAGAAGAAGAATGTAACTTGGGAAAAGGCTTCAGCAGCGTCGCCGCGTCAGATGATTAGCTAATAGTGAAAACACTGTAAAAGGACTGACAGTTCTCCTCGCTTTTCAGCACTACCGAACTGTGTAAGTTGTCAATTATGTATATTGGTCCGCTGTTTACACTTTGAAGCCTCCCTCGTAGCGCTGATAATGCTGAAAATGAAGCTACCGATGAAAACGGGCGAGGAAGGAGGCGACGAACCGGCCGAGGACGATTCATTGGATCAGCCGGATCACCAACATCTTCCCAGGGCGGCATCCCCCTCCTCGGTGTACGACAGGCTGGAGGATCCGTCCAGACCTCATGGGTATCAATCACAGCTGGACAAGGAGACGGTTTTTGAGTGGTTCGGCCTACATCTAAACCCCGCTAAACGGATCGAGTTCATGTGCGGGCTGCTGCATATGTGCCAACCCCTGGAGCTCCGTTTTTTGGGATCGTACTTGGAGGATCTCGCTAGAAAAGATTACCACGTTTTACGGGACTTCGAGTTTCGGGCGAATAGTCCGAGCGATTTGGGAGTTTTAACGGACGTGGTGGATCCAGTGGTTAGATCCAAACTCCTGGTCTGCCTGTCCCTGCTCGGGTCTGACAGCAGGGAATGTGCTGGAATACTCTTTCGGATACTGAGCCATGTAGATCCGGCCTTGTTCTACAAAAATTATGACTACTCCCTTCCTCCATTCAGGAACCCTCACCACCACTCGTTCCATCCGCCGTGTCAGGACGGGAACGTGTACGGGCGCTCAGAGCAGACCTGCGGCTTCTCCACTAACGAAACAGCCGCTGGACCTCTGGAGCAGTTGGCGCTGCTTTTTACCATGGCCTCCCTGCACCCAGCTTTCCATTTCCACCAACGGGAGGTTGTCCGAGGACAACTCGAAAAAATAGAGCTTGCCATAGAAGAGGAGAGGCGTCAAAGCCAGCTTAGAATAAACGCCCAGGCAACGGTAATCAGCAATAACCCAACACTAGTACATTTAAAATGCTAAGCTAGGTCAAAACTTACACAACTTCAACGTGCTGGAGTTTCTGGAATCATTGGCTAAAGCAACGACAAAGTAAAATATCCGTCTTTCGATAATAATACTGCTGACCGTTATATTACTTACTCCACTGGGCTGTGTGCTCCAGCAGGAAACGTCCTTTCCTAGCATTAGCCGTCCATGGCAGTAGAGCTAATGCTAGTGCTAACCGAGTTAGCTAACACTTCAGCGAGTTAACCAGCGAGCAGCTTGAGTTGGTTAGATGGTTTTAAGGAGATACAACAGCCATGTCCAGATGTATGGGATACGGCTATGACTCAGTTGCTTTGGTACCATTATGTATCTTGCTGTGGAACTTTATTGGCTTCCACCATCTTTCTTAATCCAGTGAAAGTCACCATGCAGCTTTACTGGATGCCAAGTAGTGTCCCAGATGTACCAGCCAGCGCTGCTCTGACAGTAGCGGCTAATTGTTGAACAGGCTGGCTGGCCCAGCTGCTCTGTGCTCCAACTCCACAGCAGCAGGTGTTTCAGAAGGATCTGACTCACTCACTCTGGTGTCTGCAGGTTTTCACTCCAACCAAACAGGACAGAAGCTCATTACGTTCATTATTTCCTCCAGTGTGCTAGAAATGTGGTTTATTAGATAAATTAGCTGGCATGGTTGCTTTGCATTCTATTAACAGTCATAATAATAATGTTAGCTGGCCTGGTTTATCAGCTGTGGTCATCTTGACTATAATCACTAGTTTACACAGTTGTTTACTCACTTAATCTCTAGAGCCATAACAGTTCACTATCAACTATTAAATGAATCAGCAGCTGTTTTGATAATCAGTCATTGGTTTTAGTATTTTTTTTTGTTTTTCCAGAAAATAATGTCAAAATTCTCTGATGCCAGCACTTTTAAGTTGAATATTTTTTTCTGGTTGCTTTACCACACAATGACTGTAAACAGAATATGTTTGGGTTGTGGACAAAACAGGGTATTTTAGGACGTCATCCTTTGCTTTGAGAAACACTGATCAACATTTTTCACCAAACAACTGATCGACTTATTGAGAAAATATTCTTCGTATTAATGAAAGTGATAGTTAGTTATAGCCCTACTAATCTCTAGTCTACAGCTAAAGCTTTTAATGAAAACAAAAACCAAACATTACGAAGGGGGAGGCATGTTTTAGACTTTATTTACACTACAGCAGTGGATATTACTTTTGAGTTGTTGTTTTTCCTCATCTTACACTTCACTTATCTACAGTGTTTGTGTTGGCTAAAGCAGGGTTTTTTGGTAAGATGCACATTAAGCTATATTTGCATGTGTTGTTGAGGTCATACGCCTGGTAATGTTATTGTTGTTTACCTGTTGCCAGCCCACAGAAATCTATTGTCGGAGTGCGTTTAGTTCTCATATAAACCAGCAGGGAAAATCATTGATTGCAGACAAACATGGGTGTAACATCCTTTGGAGGGAAATTAGGAAGCCAGCTGCCTTTTTAGTTCAGGAGGTTTGCAGGGATATCTGAACTCAATTTACTTGAAACAGATCCTTCTATGCCAGTTTATGTTTAATATTTGAAAGGGTTCTGCCTTTTACAAGATTATCCAGATAACCCAGTAAGCCTGCTGTGTGTACACACACGGGGCCCACAGTCTGTGTTTAGTGCTTGCAAACCAAAATATCTGACTTTGGCCAATGAGGGAAGCCTTAGTGGAGCAAGTGTGGGACAGTGGTGACCTCCAGACACCTGCCAAGCATCCAGCTACTGTTGAAAGGTTCATAAGGTACTTCAGTATTCAACTGCGGTGGCTGCTTTTGAAGAAAAAGTATCCTCAGCTCTCTCATTCTTTACCCACCGTCCGTGGAGGTGCTCGAGGCAGCAGGTTTTTTTTTTCCTCCACCAAGGTTAGAACTGAAATGAAGACATCTGATCAGTGCTGTTTGTCATTAAAACTACCACTCCAAATTCCATGAATTTGTTGGAGAGGTGGAGCATGGGCACAGGAAGAACACTAAAGGAATAAATTTAAAGCTGGGTTGTATTAGATGCTTATCCATGGTGAATGTGTTACCTACCACTGGATGACTAACAACCGATCTGCAATGTAATACAATGCACGGTTGCGGTTACATGTAGGAATACGGAAGTTGAGAAAATATAGCACCAAAGAAGAGAGCTCTCTGACGGCAAGGAAAAGCAGTAAGAATATTCTAAATATAGTGTACACTTAAACTGGTATTGATTTTTTTAGGTGGCTAAAATATGTTTTGCTGCTGACCCCGTTACAGCAGCACACTGCTTAGCTTCCCTGCCAGTAGTTCTCTCTGCTTCTTCAAACTGGGGTGCTACCGCGATCTACTGCATGTGGTACACTCACTAAGTACCTTAAACAACCCCACCTCAAAGAAACTGGGCTGTCTCTTTTAATGCCAGTGTGGATCCAGTCTACTTTCGTTAAAATTGCAAGATAGGGCATTGACCTTGGCAGCGGATGCGCTTTTCAAGCACCCTTCTAGTTAATCAATGGATAGAGCCATTGTTTTGTTTGCTCAGAATTAAGCCCTACAGTTTGTTGAAATATACATTAGGGTGAAGCAATAACCAGAGTGTGTTTGAGGCAAGGGTGTATTATTTACTTAGCCAATTGGACCTCTGGCCACAGACAGAAACTGTTTAACAAAGGTAGTAAGAGTTTTGTTTCACGTTGTTTCCCTGTGTGTATTTAAATAGAAAAATCACTTGTCTAACCTAATATGAAGTTATGCAAAGAATGCAAAGCTCTTCTGGTGCCACTCTCAAGTGTCAGAGCTTCCCACCGACACATGAAAAACCCCCTCACCCCTCTGTAAATGACTCTCAGCTTGTGTCAGTGTCCTGCTACCGGATCCACATGTGGTGCATGTAACAGTTTTCATTAGGGATGCCAGTAAACACCAAAACAGTTGCTGAACTTGAGGTGTGATAATGTATAAATAGCTCTATTTGTAGTCTAAGATAATTTTGTACAATAGGTGAGAAGTTAAAATAGTTGCAGACATTATTCCAACACTGGCAACTGCATGCTAATTCAGTGCTGCTTTATGTCCAGCAGTCACTATCAAGGGTAGTTTGTCTTTCTGTGTTGCCCCACAGATGACATTCAGTGTTGTATAACTGAGAATGACAGGTTTGGTGCCAGACTTTCACTTAGTTTTTGAATAGTACGAACACAGTCTCTTCAGCCTCGTTTGGAAATATGAAAATGAAAAATATTCCAGAATCTGGAGTTAGAAAGAAACAAGCTTAGCAGACCCCTGTAGCCTGCTGCTCATCTCAGCTGCAGGTTAGTGACTTCAGGCTACAGTAGTTGCTGCTAGCATTTACAAGCCTGTATTACAGACTCTGCGGGGCTGTCTCTTTTCCACATGAGTCCTTGAGGTTGAACACATTGTGAGTCAGAGCCTGGCCTGGTGAAGATGCTCCTAATAAAATCACACATGCCATTTTTAGAGCAGGGTAACCGTCTCTGGACTGTGCTACTGTCAAATGTGGACAAAGACATAGTGAGAGAATGATTTGAAGCAAATGCTGGTTGCTGGTGTTTCCTTGTGCTTACATAGTTGTTGTTTCATTCCTTTAGATTGTCAGATGGTTCTATTTTAGTTGCCCTTTTGGTATCCCACAGGCTATGTTTACTTGCTTGACTGTTTACTTTGGTATTTGTATTATGTATGTTATCTTTACTTTTTGGCCACTCAACATTTTAAGTACATTTGTATTTCCTGCTGCATTGTGAATCATCACTGAGTAATATGTTTACATTGGCCAATATTCCCATCTCTAAAAATGACCTCCTTAAGTCTGGGAAAACCAAAGCAACCCACTTTGGGGTAATTTACCTTTGAACTGTACTCCAGCGTTACAAATCTGTCATCCCTAATAGGGCTTATTTTGTAATTATAATGTCTAAATGTCAATCACGTTAAATAGATTGCTCTAATTAAAGGTCACAATTTAAAACATCCAGTATGACCAAGTAACTAACTTTGTGTCCTTTTGGGTCTCAAGGAGCTGATGGGTCAGAAGGCAGATTACCTGGCCCCCTCAGCACTGGGTTTAGGAGAGTACACAGCCTCCCATCCTCCTTGCCAGAGTCGACGCTCTAGCCGCTGGGCAACACAAAGAGAAGGTGAGTGCAAACAGTGTACACACTGTACATAATAATTTCCATTATAATTGCTGCAGGTTCAACAGGGAACAGGGCTGCATTTTAAACTGTGGAACCAAAGTTTCATCCTTCTGTGCCAATGTAGTCTTAGCAGGACTGTGCAAGTGTCAATCACCTGTCTTAACCAACTAGGGGACTTTCGTTACTTTGATTATTAAAGTTTTAGTTATTTTGCTTTCAAAAAAAAATCTCTGGAATTGATTCACAGTAGGTCCTACAATGACCCTAATAATTGTATGGGCCTAAATAATTTACCAGACTTTCAGTGGGTACACATTAGTAAGTGATTCTAAAGTCAATGTTTGCTGAGTCCTAATAGCTGCACTGCTGTTTTCCTGTTCAACTTGTCAGAGAGACTAAGTCGTAATTGTGTGTTACTGGTCTGTGTTTTTTGCAGCGGTGCATATAGAGGGAATCGTGCTCAGGGGCATCTCTCGGACCAGAATAGACAAGGAATACAACTTTGAGGTGGGCAACAACATCACACACACAGTGTTGGAAGTCTTCTGTAATGTGATACATTTTAGTTCAGTAGTGCCTTGTTCAGACAATACAATGCCAGCGCAAAATTAGCCCTAGCATGTTAGTGCTTTATTTGACATTCTCTCCTGTTGCGTGACAGCTTTCACAACATATCAGTGACAGTGACTAGTAGGAGCCCAAAGCTCTCCTCTACACGCCCAGCATTTGTTTACAGTCTTGGTACAGAGAGTTTATTTTTCTCTCCTATCTCTTCCCAATGACATCACATAGGTCGCGAAAGGCAGCAAGCTGTTGTTGGCCAATGACCAGCATGTAGTCTGTCATGTGTCTCGGCCAAGTCACAGCAAGAAGTTATGGCATTATAATTGCCTAATCTGAAGCAGTGACCATCTTATCAGAAACAAACATCCTGTAGAATGAACACGGCATGACATGGTTAACAATCCCAATAACTGTAGTGATGTCGGGTGTTTCTTTTAGCGTACATGTCGGACACCACAGTTGCGCAAACACAGAGACTTTTTCCGCTCTGCTGCTATCAGCTTCCCGTGTGTGTGTGCTCAGCTTTGGGAGGTGGCCAACCCACTACACTCGAGAGATGCAACAAGCAGTTAGCTTACAGTGGAGTGTAACAATAATAGCTTGGCGATAGAATTAAAAAAACAAAAAAAAAACTCTTTCAAACAACCCTTCTCAGGGTCACATTGGTGGGTAGTCACATTGTACTACAGACACAAAGTTGTGTTTCTATGCATTCTGTCAATGTAAAAACCACAACCAAATCTTAATTGGTAAAATGAATATGTGCAAAGACTTTTCATAGCAGACCGCCAAGTGGATGGCCAGTGCTTTGGATGGTTCATTCCTTAGTTTAACATTGGTTGTGTTGGAGAGTTTCAACAATCTGAGCATGTGGGCATTTGATATTTGACAACAACCTCTCCTGCTGCTGTCTGCTACACTCCCTAAACCACAATCAGACCACAACACACCATGGCCGTACCTGTTCACCGTGTACAGCCATCTGTTAACAGCTTTCACATGCTAGTTTGTGCCTGGAGTGGCTTTCTGACAGGTGTCTGCATCCCCTTTGCCCTGTGGAGCTTTATGCTGGTTACACCAGTGCTAGACTGGAAGTAAGGCTTATCTATCTCCAGCATGGTGACATTTTTTGGTCAGGTTAAGCAGGGTTGGAACAGGATGGCCTCTCTGTGAGCTGTATCAGCCAAACTAGAACTTGCCGCACAGGGAAATGCAGGTTGTGCATGCGTTCATATTGTTACTCATACAATTGTGTGTGGGTCGATTGGGTTATGGCAGTATTCTTTCTTTCCTTTCATTTATTTATTTATTTTTTTTGACCCAGTTGGCCATTGTACTTCACCAATCCCACTTTCTAGTTCCGTAGTGTGTCAGTCTAGTGCCAAACTAGTGGCAGGTTGTCACAGATGATGACTTTGTTCCTTCAAAAAATTGTTGTGTTCCAAACATGGATTCACAGTAACTAATGTGATTATTGCTCATTTACAGGGAGATAAATTCAGTAAAGCAGATGGAGAGGAGAGACTAACTGTCCTGTTGGCTTGACTGAGCTTTGACAGTCAAGCCAACAGCGCTCACAACAGTGAGCCGCTCTCACTCTCCATCTGTTTATACTGGAACAAACCACTGATGCACACAAGGACACAACACACATTCTCACACATCTTTGCACTGCCCTCATGAGCTAAATAGGCCTGTTTATTTTATGTCGTGTAACATAATTTACATACCGTATCTGTAGATAGGAAGACTTCTAGCATAAGAATTATTTGGCTGCAAAAAATTTAATAAAATAAAAAAATTCCCCCCAAAAAAGCTACAAAAATCAGGACTTGCTGCTACTTTTTGTTTCCATTAAGTGTCGTGTTTGCTGCTTCACTATTAAAAAATGCCTCCCCTAGGGATGTTCAGGTCCGGCTTTTGGTAATCAGTACTGATCAACATCGTAAATCAAACCAGCCAATCTGATGCTGACCAGTTTGCTGTTTTTGAGACGCAGTCAAAGATGTACCATTTTTTCATGACTAAATGCCATCTACATATTCCACAATAGGAATGTAGCTGAAAAGGACAGACATTTTCCTCTATACAAGATTTAAATAGCGCTGTGCTGTTTTGCTGGTGGCTGCCAATAGACAGCCTTGATCCAATATTCATGTTTTCCTATTTAACCGACATCTATTTCTTACCTCTAAATGAAAAAAAAAAGAAATCCCTTCAACTGTGGTTGTGTGGTCATCAAAGTGAATTGAATTAGCCACATTAAAATGAACAAAACCAATTAGGTTTAGATATGCTTATTAAAACCTTAGTGAGCTGCGTCATCCCCTTTTGGTTGTCTGAATAAATTCATCTGGTGTTAAGACAGTAATGCTTCCCCACAGTTGTTGCATATTGAGTCATAGTTGGCTATTTTTGTGAGACAACTCAGAATAAGATGCTTTTTAATAGCATGTGACTGTTCACCCAGTGGATTGTAATGCTTTGCTTTCCGCTGTAGCTATACAAAATTTAAACACAACCAGAGGGATATCACCACCGTCCTCTCATGTACTCTTTATTAATGCATTACTAATGCATGAGTCATGGTCATGTATAGCTCATGAACTCATGTCTTAGGAAATATGTAACGTCCTTGTGTCTCAATGGGAACATGACTAACATTGGATTTTATAGTTTTATCAGTAAAGTAGAATTTGTATAATGTCAACTCTACAACTTCACAACTTCAGTAGATGTAGCTTCTACATAGATGTAACTAGTCTTGTATCTATCTTATAGATTATTGGATTTGATATTCAGCATGTTTTTCGATTATCTGCACCAACTTTTGTTTTTAATGATTCCCGATTAGGTAAATTATTTTAAAAATGACTTTGGCTCTAATGCAGCCACATCGCTCTATATGCAGTCTGTAGTCCTGAGCAATTGTCCCACACACAGCACTCTCTGGTTGGTTACACATGAGGAGTAACAGCCTGTCAGTGCTCAAGGATAAATGTTAAAAAGTTTAATTTTTTTCAATCAAAGGCATTGTGTTTGAGCTTATGTTATTCTTAATCTGAACACCAAGAGTTTCCCGTAACCTCAAATATGTATTAATTGCACGTATCTATGATGTAATTATGACTGGTGATTGGTCTTCTCGTTTACTAATCTGTATTGACCCAGAGGAAACCATAATGGTTGACCACTAATTTTGTTTGTGGCATTACGTTCTTAATGTAGCCATCTTGATGTTGCTGTGTGAGTTGTATTTGTCAAGATTTCTCACATGTTCACAAACCTAGCTTTTTCTAATATGGTATGATCTTTTCTCTTTGTGTGTGTATTTCCTGTGTCATTGTACTATGAAGCACTAGTCGAGCTCTTTCTGAGGCTGCTGTTGTCAGCTGTCTCCTAGAAGTGTGTGTAGTGATGGAGAATATCTTCTGCTGTGTTTTAGGTGAAGTGGTCAGACTCTTCTTCCAGCAATGTGACCAAAACTCATCTGGAACTGGAGAACTTCCTTCTTAAGGTACATACCTTTGCTGAAGTTATTACCAGTTATACACATGTCTGTTTCAGTAACAAAATTGCTTGAAGTGTGGGTCCTCCCACTAGCGCCTCAGGTGAGAAAAATCACACTTCTTTGTTAAGTAGTCTATTGTCACTAAGCCTCTAATTTAGAATTTAATGCAGTTAATGTGATTATGTGTAGACAAGTCTTGAAAATCAGTCATTGACTGATTGAGGAGATACCTGCTGTGGTGAGTGTGTCAACACAATGGAGAGTGTTGGTGACAAACCTATTTGGGTTTTGTCACAGTAGGGAAAGCACAGACCTGAGTAATCCAGTTAATAAGTAAATTCAATTCAGCTGCTTCAATTTCTGAGTCCTAGTGTTGTGTATGCTCGTTTACCAACACACTGTCATGACTTACAAAGACACCCAAATGGAACGGAGCCATCATTAGCATTGTTCATTAGAAACACCTGTAGGGTTCCTGCTGAGACAAGTCAATAAGCTTTGTGTTTAAAAAGCCAATTGAGCCTATTTTCGTGGCTTTTATAACAGATATTTAGACACAATGATTTTTGGCAACATTCTTTACTAAAAAATATCTGCGTCTGTCTTAGCCCTTTTCCACCAAACTGGTTCCAGTGCTGGTTCAGAACCAGTGCCTGACTTAGCACCAGTTCTTTGTGTTTCCACCGCCAAAGCACCAACTCCAGGCTCTCACAACTGATGCTTTTCAGGCACCAACTCTTTGCTGGGCCAGAGAAAAACACAGAGTATGTCAGAGGGTTGGGGGCGGGGTTGTCATGACCACCGAGATCGAGGAATGGGACACACAAGTGGTAATTTGTGTCGTTTTTCACCAGGACGTCCCTGGTCTGATCACGGATGTATTGGAATGAGTCCCAAGACACACGGACGTTTTGCACATACTGTTGCACACTGAAAGCTGGCACAATTATGTCCCACCAGTAGCACCACAGTGGTGGAAAACAGTACTTTTATAACTTCTGTGTACTGCAGTATTTAAACTTATAAATGCGGTCTTCTCATGAAAAATGGAGCAGACCTACGAGCGCTGTTTATTCCGCTCACAGAAAAGACTGCACAAGAAAAAATCACTGGGTTTCATCTTGGATAAATCTGACATTAGAACACCCTAGTTTACTCTTTTTAAAGTCGTTTTTTGTCACACACCGATCTGAGCACCTCAGCCACCAACAGCAGCTACTGCAGCCTGCAGTGTGGGGCGTTCAGGGAACATCGTAAATTGTAGAGTCTATCAATAAGAAAATGTTCAGCAGGTCATATGTTTTTCCTGTGACAAGATGAGAAATGCGACCAAGTGAGAAAGTTGGTCGCACCGGTAAAAAAATCAAAGTAGTCCTGTGTGGACTTCCATGTGGCTCAAGTGTTGTTTGGTAAACAGCTACGTATGCAGTGACGTATGGCGTGGCTCTAACTTGGCTCCTTGCCAATGGAAAAGCAACCAACTCTTAGAAGGTGCCAGATTTGAACCAACTAAGCACTGGAACTAGCACCGGCACGGAACTGGCACCTGGTTCTTTTTGGTGGAAAAGGGGTATCTGTGGAACAACTCAAAGACACAGAGTGTGGCGAGAGAGAGGGGATGTCATATTTCATCAATATTTCTGAGGAAAAAAGAGGAAGAGAAAATTTGTTTGTCCAAAAAGGTAACAACCCCTGAAATTGAAGATGCAATTAAATTTCAATTTCATTCTAATTAAGTCTCTCCAGTGGGATGATCTGTGTACAGGTGATGTCTGTGTCATGTTGTCTTATCAGAAGTTGATGAATTTTAGAAAGAGCTTTAGTAAGCCACACAAGAGTCAATCAGTTAGTTTTTATTGATCTTGTTCAGTGATTCAGTTACAAAATGTTAAACTGAATTTCTAACATTTGATGAGTTTACATGGCAAGTACTTCAGCTCTGACTTACCACTGTAGTAGTCAGTCGTAGCTGCTGTAGTCACATGTTGCTTTTACAAACTTGTTTAGTACATTTCATCTGTTGTTCACCTTCCCGCTTTCTCCCTGCAGCTTCCTAAGGATCAGTGCACAGAGTCTTTTGAGAAGAGCATCCTGAGACTTCTGAACCAGGGGGACCAGTATGAGAGCAGGGAGGTAGAGAAGAACCTCAGGTACAGTACATCAAAACCACAAATTACTCCGACTCATAAACAGAACTGAGATGGTGAAAATGTGCCTTTTGAACTGACTGACTAAGACAGGAGTCCATTTTAGTAGGAATCCTTTTGGTGCCCATTTTCCATTACTGCATGCATTTATCCATAGATGTCCTTTAATGAGTTTCAGTGGCCAGTCATCCTGCGATGTTGGACATTTTTGTGGCTAGATAGAGTTAAAATAAATCTCTTTTCGGCTCCGTCAGCTAAACATGATGGATTTGTTTGGTGCTTTCTGGCGTTCACACCATATCAGATCACATGAAACCATTGCAAACTGCAGCCTTGACTGAGGACGAACCGCAGTCTCGACTGTGGTCATTTCATTTTGTTATTCGGAGCTCTCCAAGGATAAGAGGTCAACATCTGTCTCGTTTTTGTCCTAAGACCTTCTCTTTCGGGGTCATTTCCTGTACGTAATAAATCTAGAATGCATTCCTACTCCGTACTACCCCACAGTTCACATAGAAGACAGTTAAGATCCTTTATGGAATTGTGACTTTGAAAGGAATTATAGGTTACTATGTTTGTACTATATTATAGAAGAACAATGTAGATGAGACATTCAGTGCTTTGGCATTGTCTACGTTTACAAGTGTTTATTTGTGGTATTACATCTCTCACAATGCTTTGGAGGATCTACACAGGTAGAATCATGTCACCATAGATTTTGTAAGTTATGCTGTAAGCTTAAACCCTGCTTTTAACCTTTAGAATGAGCTATCAGCAGTTTGTGATTGTACAGAAAACCATCACTGGATTACTGTGATACTGACAAAAACTTCGAATGATCTATGGATAATAATAACACATTTATTTTGTATTGCACTTTTCAGGATGCTCAAAGTCGCTTGACAGGGTATACGATAAAACGGGAACAGAACAAGATGAATTAAAAGCAGATTTAAAAAAAAAAGTAAAACAGTTAAACATTAAAAGCGATCTTGAGAAGGTGAGTTTCTAAAAGGGACTTGAATGTGTGGAGGTCAGAGCAGTGTCAGATGGGAGATGGAAGGGAGTTCCAGAGGGTGGGAGCAGCAGCAGGAAAGGCTCTGTCCCCCCAGGTTCGGTGGTGGGGCGAGGAGGTGAGCAGAGGCGGAACGACGGGAAGGGATGTGGGGCTGGAGCAGGTCTGTGAGGTAGGAAGGGGTCAGATGATGGAGGGCTTTGTGGGTGAGGAGAAGGATATTAAATGTGTTGCGTTGTTTGACAGGGAGCCAGTGGTGATGTTGGGATAGTTGTTTGCGATGAACACTGGAGACAGCAACATCCTTCGAAACGGTTACTGACAATGAATCTAAATGATTCATCTTCTGTGTTCAGGTTTGACTAAAGTGTGACTTGGAAAGGCAGCCTATCCTTTGACACACACACAGTGGCTTTTGGTGCTAATGGTTTTAAAGTAGCTTAATGTCTTCAGAATGCTGTGTGTCAGGTATTGCTGCTGCTCCAAACCAGCAGGCAGAACTGCAATAACTGCTGCCAGTTGTGTTCACAACAGGGCATGCCATTGTCCCTTTCATCTTGTGCACTTTCTCTGCCTCACGGCGAGACAAAAGATCTGTCTCACAGTGAGAAAATGTCTGATCTAGAGAGTGAACTTAATTATTGTTATATGATTAGCGCTTTCAATAATTGTTCCCCAAACACATCATGGTAGGCATGACAGACAAGGACTCTTATGTGTCTGTCATTGTTGAATGGATTGTCAGCTACTGAATGGACACACACACACACACACACACACACACACACACACACACACACACACACACACAGAGCTCCATGGCCAATGCACCAGTTTCATTTTGTGTGAAGTGAAACTGTGGAAAGTGAAACCTATCTGCCCAACAACAAGTTTTTGTTTTGATCCATAGCCCAGCCCACAACCAAGCTGCAGTACAACTGTGCTATAGCTGCATGATTTCCACATTACAAAAGAGTTCTAAACATGTTGGCAGAAGTTTGCAGTCATTCACATCAACTTGCATGGTTTGGGTCTTTGTGTTGGTATGATTGATCATGGCTACACAAAGCCCAGTGTAGGAAAGAAATAAATAAAAATCTGTTAAAGCTTTCAGTATGAAACATTGGTTTATTACAAAATGATTTCCATATGATTCCTTCCTCCATATAGATTTACCAAAAAAACAAATAAAAAAGAAGGATGAGTTCTTTCATTTGTCTCTCATAAATCTCAGAATAGTTCTGAATAATTGTCAAGACCTTATATTTTAAGAAAGTTGAAGGAAAACAAAGTTTGGGTAATATTGTTTGATGGGTGTGTTTAGGATTTAAATATGTCTAAATTCTGTTCAGCTGCCAGAACAGCCGAGTTTTACTTGTTGTGTCTGTGTCTGTCCTCCTCTAGGGAAAGGTTCCTGTCTGCTCCTCCACTTTTCAGGCAGACCAGAAAGGTTTGCAGCTTCTTCAACTGTGACTCCAGTTACTCCACTAAACCTTCCTGCTGCAGATGTAAGTATCAGGCTAAGATATCCTCTGATTACAATGATATTCTCAACTTAGAATGTTTGCGCTTTTTTTAAATGTAATGTCTTCTTTTCCAACACAATCTGAAATGTCAGGTGTTTCAATTAATACTGTTTAAGTCATTATGTTGTCTTTCGTAGAAAAGTCAGAGGTCTGGTCTCCTCACAAGGACACCATATACTCATGTCCATGTTGGTGTTCTGTTTTTTCTCTTCTGGAGCAAGCCAAGCAATCTCTGAATTTCAATAAAGTTCAGTTAAATTCAGTTTCATTTAGATAACATCAGTTCATCACACGGGTCATTTCAGGACACTTTATTGTATGGTCAGTATGTTGAAGTATTATAGAGAATAAGGCAGCAATTTCCCCATTTCTTTAAATTGTTATTGTTTTATAGTCAAGCAGTCCCCTTAGTGAGTTCTCATGTTGTTTTTGTTGGTTTAATGGATCAATATTCTGTAAAATTATCAGTTTTCAAGGAAGAAATGATAATATTTTGCCTTTTATGACCATCAGTTATATGGAACAAAGGCAGAGTTTTTGGTTTTTCTTAAAATGTAATAATTTTTTTTGCCCCATAAACCTAGACATTTGTTTTTTTGTTATTTTAGATTTGATTAGTTCTTGATGTATATCTGCTGCACTGCTGGTTTACTATTAAGCACTATTTACACACACACACACACACACAGACAATGCATACCTGTAGGTGTCGAACCAGATGTCAGCGTATGAGGCAATGACCCACAAATGACGGATATTGGGGGAAACTGTGCTGCGTGAATTTTTGTGAAGAGAAATCCCTAAATGTGATGTTATGTTTTTTTAAAACAGGCAATTGCCAGCCGGGGAAGGCCTACCAAGGAGACTGCTCTGACGCCTCCAGTCAGGAGGAAGGTGAGAGGAAGTGAAATTCTCCTACAACTCTTTTCCCACAGTGCGGTTTTTCTTCTGACAAGTGTTTTCCTCTGTGGAGAGCAGCAGGGGCAGGGAGAGAGCAGAGAAGAGGACAAAAGAAATGCACAAGAGCATGTATAATGTGAATGAGGCCTGATTGTGGGCACAGACAAAGCAAAGGAACAGCCAGCTAACCAGGGCTGCAGCTCTAGCTTGAGCTACATAGTAGGCATGAAAAGCTAACTAGTGTTTATTTTTGGAGGTCGTTTGGAAAGGCTGAGTCTGTTTCAAATCCTCATATTTCACGGCTATATTTGCCTGATGATGTGCTGGACTGAAATCAGCACGACTAGCAGTAAGCACAGCGCTGGCCTGCCTTATACTTTAAATAATCGTTTCTACTACAGCAGTTTTGATAAGGTAATCACATGTTGTATTGAAGTTAAGATTACAGGCACTTGCCTTTCATCTCAATGAAAATGGAAAATACTCCCTTCTTTTTAAGTTTGCAGTACAGCACACTTTGGGGAGTTTTGAACTAAATACTTAAATCTCTTTGCATCTCGCAACAAGACAGGTGCAAGCCATATTTAGCGTAGCTTAGCACAAAGACTGAAAGCAGGGCTGAACTGCTAGTATTACCCCGTTAAAAGTAATGAAACTTCAGTCCCACAGCACCAAATTCTGGAGATGTCGTGGTGTCTGTGCCTGGTGTTGCAGCCATCCTTTACAAATAGACATTTGGTGAAGAACATGTTGGTGCTGTACCTTATTGATGATCCTGACCAGAATAAAAGTGCGTTGGAGAAGCTATAACTATTAGTTGGTGCCAAGCCGATAGCAAGGAACAGTTTTAGATTTTATCTGAGTTGTTTGTTTCAAACTTGACTTTTTTTTGTCTCCTTTAACATCACATATGATAGGAATAATGAGAAACCAGACATTTTTTTGACATTGTTTAACTTAAAGAGAGACTATATGAGAGCTCCAGACCAAACGTTTGTATTGGTTTCACTGGTACAGCTAATCTTGGTCTTTTTGGTGCACCCAAAATTTTTTTTAATCATAAATAATACATTTTAAGTCTTAAACTTTTTGGTTGTTCCTACACACATTGGTCATTTCTTAACTCCATATGTAAACAATTGTGGACAGTTGGTCTTTTCACAAGGATGATCTGGGACTGGGCTGCAAGGTGGCTCGGTGGTTAGCACCGTCACCTTGCAGCTAGAAGGTCACCAGTTCACGTCCTGGTTAGGACACCCGGGATCTTTTTGCGTGGAGTTTGCATGTTCTCCCCGTGCAGCGTGGGTTCTCTCCGGCGTCCTCCCACAGTCCAAAAAACATGTTGAGGTTAATTGGTGATTCTAATCTACTACAATTTACAGATGTCTTCTAAACATCTTGCATGCATCAGTAGGTGCATAGACTGCATATTTCTATATACACACACTACATACATATTATATATAGTCTCTCGGTAGATGCTAGCTCGGCATCTGTTTGTAGAGCAGCCTCTAATCCCCACTCAGGTACTGCAGCACATCAACTCAGACAGGTGTGTGACCAAGTATTAGTTTGAGAGGAGTGAAATGAGATGTTGTAATATCAGTGTTACCTCACGTGAAACCAAGTGATTTTATCTGGCTGTGTGAGCTGCAGTCGACCTGTGGGTTATTGGAGTCCTGTATAATGTCTGTAACAATAAGATGGATGTACACAGTATTTTTTTTTAAAGTATGATACATAAATGTCTCGCTTGAACTGTCTTTTTACACTTAAGCTTTTATATTGATTCAATTTTTGTCAAAAACAGCAAACACTAAATATCAGTGACATGACTGCTATTTGTATCCTCACATAGTGTATCTGCTGCTGCTCTGCTACTTCTAATTTGTCAGTGTTTATGGTAAAATTATACATCTTGTTTCTTGAATATTGATAGAATTGTCCTGAATCTGTCTCTAATGTGTAATTTTTGTTTTCCCCTGTCACATTTAGAGTCATACGTTCAGGGACACAAGAAAAAGCACGGGTCCAAGAGTCCATGTCAACCGTGAGTAGACTGTCTGTGGTCTAATCTATGGCTCTGAAACATGTTCATCCTCATAATTAAAGTAGAATGTTGCTACTACATAGGAATGAAGCAGAAAAAGAAACACTGGCTGGACAGTAAGAATACCTAAAACCTCCTCTCCTGTCTGCCAGTCTGTCTAGTGCCAAAGGCTCCCAGGGGGACATTCGGAGAGGGGCTCATGCTGCAGAGCTCAACGGTCCAGCAGAGAGGAGGAAGAAGGGTTGTACACTGAGGGGGAGTCATGAAGCTGAACAGGTGAGAATAGAATAATGAACAAGAAGGTCACATATTGTCCCACTGGTGCTGGATTAAAAAAAACTGCTCTCAGCACTACTTCTGATTACCACTGACACACAGGGTGGTCTAAGGAAGTTCATCATATGATTAACAACACTGAGAAAAATCATGTAGAAATTGTAGCTTGCTGTGCTACAACCTGTTTATTATGTGTAGTTAGTGAGCTACAGTCCCTCAATACAAACCACTTATGAAACTGCCATAGTTACATTCATGCATCTTATTTCAATACCAAATGTGATTCCTCTGCTGCAGCTACTTTATAGCCCCTAAATGAATTGTAACAAAAGCCATAGAACAACAGTTGGACATTTTTATATTTATAATCTGTTCTTTGCTAAATTTGTGACACATCACTACTAATAATAGTTCCATATCACTGGAACTGTTTGTTTAGAGACCCTGCAGTGGATTCCACGAAGCAGGTTTACTGAAACCCAGGTTTTGTTAACCCTGAATTTAGGGAGTTACTATTCCAGAAACAGAGACCATATTTAAGTCTGAGTTATTTACAATGGTAACTTTGACTCTGTGACACTAACCTGCTCACTGACAGTATTTCTGTAACAGACCCGGGTTCGTCTTTGTGTCCCCGTCTGACGTCTCAGTTCCTCGTTCACACAGTCCATATCATTTTCAGAAGTTTATGTCTAGAGAGGAAGATTAAAACCCCTTGTTTAAAACCTATCTTTGATGATCAGTCACCAGCACAGAGTAAAATCTGGACGTTTAAACAATAGTTGTCTTTTAGTTCCCATTCTTTATAACATTTAGCGTGCATAATTATGATTACGTGAAAACTGTAGACACATCCATACTGATGTGTACCTTTGGCTTTGATTCTGCAAGTTTCTACAACACTATTGGATGGATGGAACACAATTTTTCCAGAAGAAATTCCCTTGTTTGGTGCTTGATGATGGTGGTAGAGAGTACTGTCTGAAGTTCAGTCCACATATATAGCAATACGCTCATTGCCCTTTTCTTTGTAGCTGAAAGTTGGTGGCTAGTGAACTTCTCTTGCTCTGATTGCCAGGGTAATCGTGTTGTATATTTCCCACTCTGAGCTGAGTGATACTTGCTAGCCTACTCTACAACATTTATTTACTTTGTTAGTTTACACATACACACTTTAATAGACGTTAGTTAATAGTTGTTTTATCACACGTTAAAGGGGATCAGACAGAACAACTTTGTTCTGATTTGTAGTGACCATCCTTCTAAGGGACAAGTGAACCCAAACCATGCCAGCTAAATGCCCCCACAGAAAGGGTGAAGGGTTCAGGTTTTTCCTTTAATTTGTCACCTGTCTGAAACAGAACTGGTGTAATGATTAATTCTCTGGGAAGCTCCGCAGCACAGTTCACAGTTAGCACAATTCCACGAACACTAGTTAATCATTATAGACTGTAGGTACATGTTGGATTTAGTTAACCTAACTTTACGAATGACACAGCAGGATGTGTGTGTTTGATTGGATGTGTCACACATTGCCACGTGAATGAGAGTGCTCAGCTCTAATCTCACTGATACACTGATATAGGTCAAGACTACATGCATGTGTGGGTGAGAGAGGGACAGCAATCTGCTGACGCAGCACAACCTCTCTCTCTCTCTCTCTCTCTCTCTCTCT